AATTGAATTGAATTGAATTGAATTGAATTGAAGAAAAAGGTCTACCCAGAAAAAAAGCTTGAAAGCAGGTGTCTCAGGTGGGCCCCCTGAGTAATGGTGCCTGTCTACGTTTTCAATGACTCTACAGATTTTTGCTCAAGACATTCAAAATTAGTTATTGGAGGGCACTTAACAATGAGAATTTATTATTTATTCAAAGGTGGATTTTTGGTTTTATTTTGCATAGGTGGTACAGAAGTGCATGATGTTAACCCTCACGTTATGCTTTGTGGGGTTATTTCTATGTATGCTCCCTCGCCTTCTTCTTCTTAGGACACTGGCATTTTTATAGATACAGGTCTTAAGAAACTTGAACTGTGTCAGTTTCCCACAATGGGTTACGTTAATACCGAGTTAAATAAATGTATAAAAATAAAAATAAAAACAACCCTTTTTTTGCTTATCGAAGTCAAAGTCTTAATCTTCGTACTGCCACTCTAAAGAGCTCTGGTGAAATGCGCACTGCCATGTGGCTGCTGGTGACCTGCAAGGCCTCTGTCTATTAGAGGAAGGCTATAGCTCTGACACGTCTACATGCACTGTGTTCTGCGCCGGCCTGCTCGCAGGGCCCCTTTCAAATGGGCAGTGCCCCTTTGAGCGGCATCTGTCACCAGCTATATTTAGAGGGTTGAACAAATACCTTTCTCCCTGAATATGAACTTCAGCTGACAGACAGCAGGCCAGAGCAGGCAGAAGTGGATCTGCACAGTTTGTAACCTTCAAGAGCCTGTAACTCTCAGGCTACAGCTGCGTTTAGTCAGGCTCACCGCTGAAATCTAACGCTGTAAATACAGCGCAGTCAACCATAGTTAGCATTGATATGGCTGAAGGTTTTAGCACCAGTTCCTACAGTTCCAGGATAGCTGCCAGCATAAATGGGAATATACACTTATAAACCCTGATAACAACTTTTAATACCCCCCCACACACACACACACACACACACCTACCCACACCCAAACAGTGAGGTATAAAAGAAAAATGACTGAATGAACTCCTGTGCCTTCAATCTCCTTCAATGCTTTGAAGATTGCTACGTTTCTGCCTATAGGGGTTTGTGCGTGTGACAGTACAAGTGAGGCAGCCAGTGCGTGACTATGTGACCCTGTTGCATGAGCATCTGCTCTATATAACCATAAACAAATGCAGGCAGGCACAGCTTCACAGTATTATTTCCAAGAGGTCTAGGCCGGGTAAATCTATTCAAGCTTTGGTCTCTGGGTAGATGTTGTAGTGATATGCCCTAGAAGCAGGCCACGGTTATGCAACAGGATTCATAATTCATACTACAAACACAATATGGAGGCCTCTCTGTCCCATATGCAAGCACATGGGCAGATTAAGGAGTGAGCAGTCAAAGGGGACAGAGTGCATTCGGAGCTGCCGCTGACTGAGTGGCTGTCTCATAGAGAGCGTGTATGTGACAGGCCTAAATAGGCCAGGTTTTACTGCCAGAGGGACCTCTGCTATATTTTGCACCTACTGTCTAAATCAGTTACATGGCAGCAGTGAGGCACAATGATACAGTGAGGGAGGTTTTATAACACTTGACGCTATTAACAGGTACAACCCGATGAACGGTGTCAATCTGCTCATTTATTTTCTGGTCATTTACAATGTAGCTGATGTTTGCTGTTTTTCCGTGGAACACTTTAGCCCCTTTCTTCACACACACACACACACACATATATATATATATATATATATATATATATGTATAACAAAGTTCTTGGAGCTGGTGCGATGAGGTTCATCCAACCTTGCAATTACAAGCAAGTCTTTTCCCCCCCTGCTTTTTAGGTCAATTTTGCTTTTTCTAACATAATTTCTGCTTTTATGACTTTATAATAATTATATTATGTATGATTTTTTTCTCCCAACCCCAGACTTTTTTTTCTTCTTTTCTTTAATTCGCTGTTGCAATACTGGGCTGTTAACCTGAAAAAGTCCCAGAAGCAAAGCAAACAAAAATGTAAAAAAAGAAATGGTGTGTGTCATTTCAGACTGGTAGTGGGGGATCAAGAGAGCTTTATACACCTACTGAACACCTGCTTTAGTGTCTGTGGGCTGTAAATGAGAGAAGGGCTTTAATAACATCTGCACTTATAATCAAACGTGGAGCGCGCACAGAATTCCAGAGCCGCAGGCAGCTAGTCACTATAGCTATAGATTGCAGGGTGGTGCCTGGGGTTACTGAGTCCGTACAATACAGCCGCAGTTATGGGCTGAAGCTCCAGCTCGGTGCACTGTGGTTAGGGTGGAGACAGGTTAAAAAGCAGAGGTTAAAGATTTTATCCATTCACTGGCTTTAAGTAGCTACAAGACAGCAGGTTATGTTGAGAGAAAGCAGGCGGGGCTTGGAGGCAACGTGCAAAGGTGCGGCACAACTGTGGCACTGCCAGCGCACATTTGCCCCTATGAAAAAAAAGGCACTGTTTATGGTGTCCACTCGAGGTCAGCTTGTTGAAAAGAGGAGCTGGAAGTGATCCAGAGTGGAGGCCGCTTGATTTTTATCTAATCAGCCAACAACTATTAAAACATTTCCCCTTGAGAAATAGGCACGCTAATGGTCCTGTCACTGTACATTAGAGTGCTACTTTTCCTCAATTTGCACACCTTTTCACAGTTTATTAGACTTTTTTTTTCCTTTTTCCCCTGAACTCAGCATCCAGTCGCACCCACTTTTTTCTTTCCCACTTTACTCTGTTCCTCTGCTACCTGACTACTTTGGCAGCGATGCACAAAATGGCGGCAGGGAGCTGAGGGCTGGAAGGCACAGAGTGGAAGCCATTTTCCAACAGTTTCAGGACCATGCATAGGGAGAGAGAAGGAGAGTCGAGTCGTTGCCTAGCGGGCAGTTCGGATAAGTGTTTTCTGCGCATGTGCGCGAAAAGATTATCTTTGTTTTGTTTTTTTTTTTCTTTCTTAATGTGCTGCGCTAATAAAGCCATCGGGACCTCGGCCTTTCTAAAAAAAGGGATAAAGGCACAACACATTATGATTTTAATCTGTTCCAGGCTCACATCATAATAAGTCTCACAAAGAGAAAGAAAATACATGTAGACAAAGCGGGGATGTAGCCTGCACATCGTTTAATTACAGGCCCCCCATCTCAATGAAATTGAAATGCAAGACAGTCCAACAGCATCAGAATACATCATCCTGTACAAAAAAAAGCCCAAAACATTTCTAACACGTTGGGGTACTTACAATCGCCAGTGTGTGTTTGCATAATTTCTCTCTCTGGCCAAAACTGTTTGCGCTTGGAGCTCAAAACTCTGTCTCACTGCCTACGAGAAGGAAAGACAGAGAGGAAGGAGGGGGGGAGGGGGGGGGGATGGAGTGAGAGACAATTTACAGCAATGTAAACAGAGAGGAAGTGAAAAACACAATCGAGAGGAGACAGAGAGCCTGATCGGTTGAGTAGCCTGCAGCAGTAGTAGCAGCGGCAGAGGGCTGTAGGGTATTTTCTCTGTAGCCTGTTTACTAATAAGCTCACCCTACACTTGCCTGGCCAAGGAAGCTCATTAGCGAAACAAGTAACACACCGCACCCTCTCTGCTGGCCTGTACACCGGCCAACTCTTACTGCCGCATGCTCACCCTACACCAACACACCCGCACACTTCACACACACACAAGCTCCTCTGTGGCCTCGGCCTCGCCCGGTAGCGCCCACTCGCTGCATACATGTGCACGCTTTGGCACACCGTGTTACCGAAAGCCCACAGTGTCATGTGCGTGGGTGAAGTGGTGCATCTGCACGTACTTGTGAGTCTAATAAGTCTTTTTTTGTTTTTTTTTTTCTTTTACACATGCAGCACAGTATGCTCGGTTCGCAGAAGAGGGCATGTGCGCAGAGTTAATGTACAAGGTAGCTTTTTGGTTATCGTGCGTCGTGCACATGTGACGCCATCACGTGGAGGTGGAACAGGAAGCGAGGCGACAGAGGTAGGCGTTGTTAGCCAAATCTCAGATTGCGCAAGTAAAAAATAAGTGCAGAAGAGAATAAAGAGCAAATGTGACAATTTCGCGGGCCCAGGAGGACACTGCCGATTTAAGGCTTTCACTCGGTGCGGCGGCAGCTGCCGAAGGGTGATAATTCTGGACACGGATGCTAATTGCAACGCGGAGCACGGCCTTGTCGGGCAAAGGGTCTTTTATATATTGTTTCTAACGTTTGTAATTACAGTGCAGTACCTCGGAGTGTTGCCAGCACATGTTTATGGGCTCATGAGTAACCCAACTCCTCCAGCCTCCACGGAGAGAGATTCATGTCCGAGCTGTGCACCCACTGCACTCTGTGCGTGTGTGGGTATGCTGTTTGTGTGCATATACATGTTGATGACTCATGAACCTGCCTGTGTGTGTGCAGATGGGACAGTCAACATGATATGAGAATATACCACATGAATGGCTGTGAGTATAGAAAGAAAACTACACATACATTATGTCGGTGGGTTTTGTGTTGGTATGGAGGCTTTTGTCGTATTTCACTCGAAATTCTAAAACCTTTTGGTGAGTGCAAGCGAGGAAACCTGAGTATATGCACATTACATAAACATCAAGTGCTGTATTTGCTGTATTACATGGCACAAGTCAGCAGAAACTGTAGTCAAACAAAATGAGCAAAAAAACCCAGCCCAAACCAATCCAGTTCGCTAAACGTTGCCAACAGTAAATGCAGCCAACATAATTTAGCTCATCAGTGACGAGCAGTAGAAAGTGATGGAGTGGAGGTGAGCTGAAGGAAAGGGATTTACAGTATTTTGATAGTCGGGGG